TATTGAAAGAATAAATAGAGAATTACATTTGCATTCCTAGAATAAATCTTATTAATTTTCCAGTGGCATATTATTCTTTTGACACACAGGTAGATTGTCGGGGTAGAGGATAGAACATGCAGGGGCCTCGAAGGTGTCTGCACTTGTTGTTGAGTTGCTCGGTGATATCTGCTTCTTTGCGACCTCATGAACTGCAGCATGCCAGGCTTCCCTGCCCTTCACAATCTCTTGGAGTTTGCTCAAACTCATGTCTGTTGAGTCAGTGATGCCATCCAACCATCTCATCCTCTGTCACCCCCTTCTCCTCTTGTTCTCAATCTTTCCCAGCGTCTGGGTGTTTTCAAGTGAGTTGGCTCTTTGCATCAGGTGACCAATGTATTGGAGCTTTGGCTTCAGCATCAGTCCTTCCAGTGAACACCCAGGACTGATTTCCTTTCGGATTGACTGTTTTGATCTCTTTGCAGTGCAGGGGACTCTCAAGAGTCTTCTCCAGCACCACAGTTCTAAAGCAGCAGTTCTTTGGCACTCAGCCCTCTTTATGGTCCAGCTCTCACATCTGTGCATGACTACTGGAAAAACCATAGGTTTGACTATATGGACCTTTGTCAGCAAAGTGATGCTTTTTAATGTGCTGTCTAGTTTGTCATAGCTTTCCTTCCAAGGAGTAAATGTCTTTTAATTTCGTGACTGCAGTCACCATCTGCAGTGATTTTGGAGCCCAAGAAAATAGTCTGTCACTGTTTCCATTGTTTCCCCATCTATTTGCTATGAAGTGGTGGGACCTGATGCTGTGATCTTAACATTTTTGAATGTTGAATGTCAAGCCAGCTTTTTCACTCTCCTCTTTCACCCTCCTCAAGAGATTCTTTAGTTCCTCTTCACTTTTCTGTCATTACAGTGCTATCATCTGCATATCTGAGGTTGTTAATATTTCTCCTGACAATCTTGATTCCAGCTTGTGAGTCATCCAGCCCAGCATTTTGCATGATAGATAGGTTAAATAAGCAGGGTGACAATATACAGCCTTGACATACTCCTTTTCCAATTTTGAACCTGTCCATTGTTCCATGTCCGATTCTAACTGTTGCTGCTTGTGACTGTAGCTCAGATCATGAGCTCCTTATTGCAAAATTCAGGCTTAAATTGAGGAAAATAGGGAAAATCACTAGCCCTTTCAGGTATGACCTAAATCAAATCCCTTATGATTATACAGTGAAGGTGATGAAGAGATTCCAGGTATTAGATCTGGTAGGCAGAGTGCCTGAAGAACTATGGAGGGTGTTCATAACATTGTACAGGAGGTGGTGACCAAAACCATCCCCAAGAAAAAGAAATACAGGATGGGAAAGTGTTTGTCTGAGGTAGCTTTACAAATAGCTAAGAAAAGGCAAAGGAGAACGATATATCTGGCTGAATGCAGAGTTCCAGGGAATAGCAAGGAGAGAGAAGAAAGCCTTCCTAAGTGAACAGTGCAAAGAAATAGCAAAAAAAACAATAGAATGGGAAAGACTAGAGATCTCTTCAAGAAAAGAGATACCAAGGGAGCATTTCATGCAAAGATGGGCTCAATAAAGGACAGAAACGGCAAGGACGTAACCGAAATATAAGAGATTAAAATGAGGTGGCAAGAATACACAGAACTGTAGAAAAAAGGTCTTAATGACCCAGATAGTCATGATGGTGTGATCACTCACACTCACGTAGAGTCAAACATCATGGAGGGTGAAGTCAAGTGGGCCTTAGGAAACATTACTATGAACAAAGCTGGTGGAAGTGATGGAATTCCAGCTGAGCTATTTCAAACCCCAAAAGATGATACTGTGAAAGTGCTGCAATCAATATGCCAGCAAATTTTGGAAAACTCAGCAGTGGCCACAGGACTGCTGCTGCTAAGTTGCTTCAGTTGTGTCTGACTCTGCGACCCCGTAGACGGCAGCCCACCAGGCTCCCCCGTCCCTGGGATTCTCCAGGTAAGAACACTGCAGTGGGTTGCCATTTCCTTCTCCAATGCATGAAAGTGAAAAGTGAAAGTGAAGTTGCTCAGTTGTGTCCTACTCTAAGAGACCCCATGGACTGCTCCTCCATCCATGGGATTTTCCAGGCAAGAGTACTAGAGTGGGGTGCCATCGCCTTCTCCGAGAAAAGGTCAATTTTCATTCCAAACCCAAAGAAAGGCAATGCCGAAGAATGTTCAGATTACTGGACAATTTCGCTCATTTCACATGCTAGCAAGGTAGTGCTCAAAATCCTTCAAGCTAGGTTTCAACAGTACATGAATGAAGAACTTCCAGATGTAGAAGCTGGATTTAGAAAAGGCACAGGAACCAGAGATCAGATTGCCAACATTTGTTGGATTATAGAAAAAAACAAGGGACTTCCTGGAAAAACATCTACTTCTGCTTCATTGACTGCACTTGTTACCACTGGCTGTACTCTGATGCTTACCTGATGTTTTAAATCTCATTTACCCTCCAAATGGCACTGGGGTGGTAACAGAACTTTCCTGTTTCATTGCATTGTGTGGGGTGGGAATTCTCTGCCTAGAGCAGTGTGAAGAATGGAAAAGGTCACAACTAGAAACATCTTTCCAGTCTGTAACATGCTATTTCTCACCCAGTCTATAAGCCAGTTATTGTACTTAATGTTTTTCCCTGTTTCTACTTAGACTATTTGTTGCTTTTTATAATCTCCACAGAGTTGCATTGGAGGAAGAAAACCAGGAGGACCTATTACTTTGACATTTTGCCCAAGAACAGCAGCTAAATATTTTTAAAATTATCTGTTCATGTCTGTGTCCATCACAGAACCGAACTCATTATGGTAGGGATTGTTTCATAAGTCTTAGAACTGTTCAGGGTAAGTCAGACCTGGTGCCTAGTTATAGGTTGTTGAGAGAATATCATTTCAAAGGTTTCTTCCATTAAAAATACAAATTTACTACTGACACAGTGCTCCCTTCCTATTGTAAAATCATGACTGCATTTATTAAAAATTTCTACAAAAATTTTCAGGATCATTTAGATCACTTTAGAAGAAGTTACAATCCACAGAGTTAAAAAGAACAAAACAGCTAACATAATGTAGTGTTTTATAACTCTTGAAACTTTTAACCTATCTTAAGCAGGGCAATTATTATTGTTGTTCCCATTTTATAGATGAAGCTATGAATCAGATGACAAGAATTTATCTAAGACCAAACATCTAAGACATGATCAGTAATATGTGGGACTGGAAACAAGTCTGTCGACCTGAATTCTGAGAAGACTACTGCTTTTCTTCCTTATTCCTCAGTGCTTTGCCATCATATTGGGCATTTGATCAATGGCATTGAACAGACCGGTGATATTCTGTCCTCTCATGTTTTTGTGCTGTGAAGTGAAAATCAGTGATGTTCACCCAGAGTTCAGATTGAAAGAAGTCCTTACACAGGACTTTTGAGGCCCACCATGCTCTCTCTTTCCCAGGGATCCTCTCTTTATCTACTCCTCTTTGTTCTAATTTCTTCTGCCATGCTGGGATTCTTACAATCTTCTGGTATGCCAGGCATGCTGTTCAGTCTGCTAGGAAAGTCTTTTCCAAGATAGCATCTTCACCTCCTTCAAATCTTTGTGTAAAGGTAACCTTCTCAATTACACTTTCTGTGACTGTCCTGTTTAAAAGTTCAAACCATCTCCCATTGTATACACTTCTCATCCCCTTTGCTTACATTGTTTCTGTGTTAGCACTCGGGGCACAGTTCTTCTAGTACACTCTACAATCTATTATTCACTGAATTATGGTCTATCTTTTCTCATCATAGTGTTAGTTCTAGTGCTTGGCACAGAACCTGTCTCAGTCTAATGTTTGTTGAATGAATGAATGCAGAAGTAAATTCAGTTGATTAAACTTTGTTAGTAATACTTGATTGTTTTTAATTAAGAAGTTGAACATTTTGAAATCCTTTTAGCCAGGGGCATGTGTTCATGAACAGTGTGGAAATTTAATTCCCTGTTTATCAATTTAATGTTTCCCCTGAGTTTTAATGCATGTCAATTTACATAAAATCTATTGACATTCTTAGAGAAATATGGTTCTGTGTAGGGTAAGTGACAATATAGAGTCTCTGTAGATTAATTTGTTTTAATAAACAGAATATATAGTAGTATTGACAGTAAAGTTAGTATTATTCAAAAGACTACCTGAAATCTAAGTTAATTCTAATAGTCTTTATGAAACCATCATGCAACCACTGAAATCTTGAAATAGATAATGACTAATATCACCTTGATATTTTTTGAAAATTTAAATGATGAACTATGTTTTCATTTTCTTAATTTGAAAGAACTTTTTTCTGATCCTTTTATAATTGTACATATGCTATTTTACTTATGTATTCAATATTTGTTTTCATAAAGTAAAAAAGGAATTTTCTTGATTAGCCTTTTATTTAAACATTTCTTTTCTTTTCTTATAGATATGCTTTGAGGTCACATTGGTATGAAATATGGAGTCACCTTTAATAACTTCACCTGGAAAAGAGTCTTCTTTCTTATTAAAAAAACATAAGGAAAACAGATGACCAAAGGAATCATACCAAATGCTAACTCTACATTGTTTTGTATCATCTGTTTTTAAAACCATCAAGGCAAAGGACTTGTGCTTTAAAGAATATGATTTCCTCATCGATGTTATTTTTAACAGTTTTTAAAAAATCTTTTAATCTTTTTCATCTTAAATTGTACTCTTACAAAATTTAGCACAGAGATTTTTAAATCTTTAAGGCCTTGTTTAAAATAGCTTTCATGTTTAGTTTTCAGAACTTTAATGCGTTTTTATCCTATTTTTACTCGGCAAAGTCCTCAAAACTACAGCATCAGTAAAGATATGGACTTGGAAACTTACATTATTGTAATAGACTGGAGCAGATTTAAGTGGACTATTCAAGACCCCTTCCATTTTATCATCAGAAGTATCACATAAGTACACACATCTAGCTTTAATGCAAGCAAAGTTGCTTGAAAATGGCATGGGTAAAATTCTTACGGAAACCTGGTGGCAATCTCGGAAAAGCTTACCAGCCTGGGAGTATGCTATCCCTGGCCCCTACCAAAGGCTTGTTGAATGAACCAGGACAAAACAGCTGCTTTCTGAACAGTGCTGTGCAGGTGAGACGGTCATTTCCTGTCAAATTTTAAAAAGTGCCTTTCAGGAAATTCTTCATGCTTCTTTAACTTGTAAATGAAGAATAAAGTTACTATTATTGACTGGAATGACTTTTTAATATCACTTTTAATAGTAGTAGATATTTTGAGCATTTTGGTTTTTATAATAAATGGAAATTTTTTTCAACAAAATTATACATTATTAGGATATAAAAACATTTGTAGCTTAAATGTTCACTTGGTAAAGTAAGAATGCTTCTAAAATACATAAAATTTCCTTTTTTTTTTTAGATTAGTTACTGTATCCTGCCCCACCCTTATTTTGGTTAAGAAATTCAGTAGAATCCTCTTGGTGGTTTCCTCTGCTAATAGCATTTAAAAAAACAAAAACCAAAAAAAAACAAGCTGCTTGGATTAAAATAAGAATGAATGAGTTTTTAATCCTCATTTCTCAAACTCCCTTCACCTCCCACAGTGGCCTTAAATCACCTTTTTAGAATTGTAATTTGGACACCACTGTTTTAGTTAAATTTACAGTTAATTCCTTTTGCTTCGGTCTTTGTTGAGATTCTTTTAATTAGCAAATATGTATTAATCCAGTTTTCTGCTTTAGACAAATATCCTTTCTTATATATAATAGCTTTTATTCAGCGTTTTCAGATTTCATAGTGGCCTTTATTCTTCTGACCATTGGAAAGGTAAAGAAGATTCAGAATATTAGAACGTTATTCTACTGACCCTAGGATGTACCTTAAAAGATTTTATTGAAAATAAGTAGCTTTTCACATATTTTTCTTTCTGTTGCTTTATGTCCCCCTCCAGGGGCTTCCCTGGTAGTTCAGTCAGTAAAGACTCCGCCTGTGATGCAGGAGACTGCTTAGAATGCAGGACACTTGGGTTCAGTCCCCAGGTGGGGAAGACCCCCTGGAGAAGGAAATGGCAACCCACTCCAGTATTCTTGCCTGGCAAATCCCATCGACAGAGGAGCCTGGTGGGCTGCAGTGCATGGGGTCGCAAGAGTTGGACATGACTTAGCAACTAAACCACCATCAACCCCTGAAACTTGAGAGCAGAAAGTGAAGTACTGCTTAAAGAGTTCATTTAGTGAACGAGAGCATCGTGCCTGGGTCAGGTGCTCGGACAGCTGACTCAGGCTTGTGTTCGCAGTTGCTCAGTACTTGTTAAAACTTGAAATAAACTGTGAAATATGTTTTGTAAGAAATTACTAAAAGTGGACATTATTAAAATATTTTAGACATAAGTCAGAAAAATGAATTTAAATGCCATTTCCCCTTAGTTTTTATTCTTATATTATTTTGAAGTAAGAAATAGTATAAAAGGTTTATGTTATTAGATACATTTGCATATATGTATTAATCTTTTCAAAATACATTAATTTTGTTAGATACCATGTTAAAGTGCAATATGCAAATAATGCAAATAAAAATGCTTATATTATAAAATTATATTGTTAAAAACTAGTTCAACAACTAGCTTAAACTCTAACTTTTTAAAACAGGTGGTACGATATAGTCAACATTTGCAAATGAATTAGAATAAAGGTTAACTATAGTGAAGATAATTTTTGGTATGGATTTGTGAAATCATTTTTAAACTTTTTATATTAAGTGATATTCAGAGAAGTCACATAAAATATTTTTTCTATAGTTTGGATCCAGTATGACTTAAACATTTTGCTAATCCTATAAAACATTCCAGTTACATTTGAAAGACTTAGTTTGTTAGCCTTCTAAGCATATTATAAAGATACTTTTGGCTGAATATTTTAAGTTTTATTTGATGAGAAAGTGATACAGTCAAGTAGATCTGACATATTGGTATGGTTTTAAGATCTCTAAGGTAAAAGCAAAGTTGAAATATTTAAAAGCTAATATTTATTGTGTTCTTACTGTGTGTTTGTACAACATAATCTAATTCTTACAATGACCCTAAAAGGTAGGTACTACTTTTATCCTCCTTATGGTGATAAGAATGCTGAGCTTCAGAAAATATTTTGCTCAAGGCAGTCCAAGAGCTGTTAAAAGTAAAGCCAGAATTGGAATCCAGGAGATCTCCCTTCAGAGGTTGTATCATTAACCACAGTACTGTGTACTTTCCACTGCTGGGCCGTCATGGCCAGTCATCTTGACAAATGAATGAATTTCAGTGTAGTTCATTTTATGGTATGATAGAATATGGTGTGCAAGAAAGTTATTAAACATTTTCAAGTGCTTTGCAAAACACTGTGTTATTTGTGATACATAAATGCGTCCTGTTAATTATGCTTAAAGAAACAACTATCAGAGAAATTCTGAAATTCTGGCTTTTAGTGAGTAATTAAAAATACTGGGAACTTCTAAAATTACTTGCTTTTAGTTGGAGAGAAACTTTTCTTTTTAGATAGAAGAAGTGCGAGATGGTGAATAGATTTTCTTATTTTTATTATTTGAAGAAATAACTGAAAGGTATAGAGAAGCTTGAAGATCTTAATTGTTGTACTATTTACAGAAACAAGTAGCAGCTTGAATTCAGCGCATGCCAGTTGTGTACTAGATACTACTTTAGACACTTCACATACTACACATTTCATTCTTAAAAGAAGTCTGTGAGTTATCCTCATTGTATAGATTTCAGATTTTTCTAGAATGGTTTTAAGTATTGGATTGATTTATTTAAACAACACAGTCCTTTTAATTGTGTTTTTGTTTTTTAGTAGTAAATGGTGATTAGGTAATTGCAGCAAATATATTCAGGTTATTCTTTAACTACTACTTCATATTCTGCTATACCCCCATTACTATACATATGTTCCCTTTCTCATTCTTTATACAGTGACCACACAGGCCTCTGCCCCTTTTCCTTGCCACTACATACTGATCCTTATTTGGTACACCCTGACTTTTAAGTGCAATTATACTTCCTTCCTAAATTTCAGTTCATTCCAAGTTATTATAATCACTTCCTCTTTCAAGTCTCTGCCAAGTCCTCCATTCAGTATCTGCGTGTTTCCTATTCATATAAATTCCCTAGCAGAGGAGTTATTTTTTTTTCTTGTTCTATGCCTCTCATAGTTTTTACTTGTGACTCAACAGAAATAGCTTTTAAATCTATCTTTTATATATGAACTACATATACATAGCCATTTTATACTTATTATTCTTAGTGGTTGTATATATCTGATTATGTACAAGGGATTAAAAGACGTTATTAGCCTCCTGCAGTTTAAAAAATATATTTAAATTTGTCTTTAATTCACAGTGAGAAAAATGTAACTGTATTTCATTCTTCACATCTCACTGTTTTTTAGGTTTTATGGCAATTAGATATATTCCGAAGAAGCTTGCGGGTTCTGACTGGACATGTTTGTCAGGGAGATGCCTGCATATTTTGTGCGTTGAAGGTAACTTTTAATAGTTCTAAAAAAGCACTGTTGTTCCTCAAAAATTTTATTTGATAGTTTGGTTTGTTTGACATGTTTGGTTAGTTTATTTGTAATTAAAGTTATTGTCAGTGACTTAGAGTTTTGAAGATGAATTCTTAAAGGATGACTTACTCAGGTTTATGTTTCCATTTTCCTGTAAGAACAGTTTAATAGTCTAAACAGTGTAGTATTGTTAGAAACATTATATTTTTCATTATTTTGAAATAATCCTTTATTTATTTTAACAAATGTTTTTTGAGTTACTACTGAATTCTGGGTGCTGCTATAGTTACTAAGAATACAGCAGTGAATTGAACTAATAAAAAACACTGTTCTCATGTAGCTTATATTCTTATGGGGGAGAAGAAAATAAGTAAACAAAATATAAAGTATGTTAGGTAATAATTGCAAAGGAGGAAGTATAAATCAGGGAAGGGAATGGTGAATGTTGAGTAGCAAGGAAAACCTCACTGAGAAAGTGACATTTAAATCATGACTTGGAAGAGGGATGGAGTGGTCTAGAGGATTCCAGGCAGGCAGGGACACAGTGCAAAGGCCCTGAGGTGGGTGCTCAAGGACACCTGAGCCCTGGCAGAAGATTCATGAGCAAGGGGACAGTGATGGGAGATGAAGTCAGAGGTAAGGTGAGTGCCCGTGGCTTCAGACGTGTCTGCAGATTCTTTTGTACTCTTTTATCAAAGGATGGAGTCTAATTTCTTGAAATGCATTGCCCTTAATGATTCATTTCCATCAAATAGAATGTGGCAGAAAAGGGATTAGGTTAGATTAGAAACATCAATAAAGCTTTCACCTGGCTCTTTCTGTCGGGGTACTTGTTCTTGGACATGAGTGACTATGCTGATTACAGCTACAGCAAACATCTCGGCCAGCAGGCACCACCAACCACCAGCATCAGCTTCTAGAGGACTATCAGGTGACCAGTGATCCCAGCCTTCAGACTTACAGATGACTGCAAGTGCAGCAGAGTTGAGCTGTACTCACCCAAACCGCAGATTTGTGACCAAAATAAATGTTGTTTTTAGTAACTAAGATTTGGGGTGGTTTTGTTAATGGAGCAATAAATAACTAGAACAAGAATCTGGATTGTGAAGGGTCCTTCTAGGCCTTTGTGGGGACCTTGATTTTTTCCCTCTTGAGTGATTTAGGGAGTTGTGGGTATTGTTTTGAGTAGAGCTGTGATATAACCTGTGTTAACTAAGTATAATATTTGCACTAGATCTCTCTGGCTTCTTGGATGAGAGTAAATAGAATTAGGGATGGAAAGTGGAAACGGGGAGTCCAGTATATATTAGCAACTCATTAATGTCATTGAAATCTTTGCCCAAGAATTTAAGATTTGATTATTGTTTTCAGAAGTAAATATTTCAGCCCTTACATTCTTTATTACCACACACAAATATACATAATAGAGGAAAATGGAAGGTCATTTTCACACTTTGATTTACATTCCTAAAAAGACTGAGTAAGTCACCAAAGGAGGCAGTTGTATAGTCCCTTTTTTAAATGGCAAAATAAGGTTGATGAAGAATTAATTTAAATCAAATTACAGTTTTGCATTTGATTTCCTCAGCAGTAAAATTTTTTTATAGTTTATTTATTTTTAATTGAAGGATAATTGCTTTGCAATATTGTTGATTTCTGCCATACATCAACACGAATCAGCCATAGGTCTACATATGTCCCCTCCCTCTTAAACCTCCCTCCGACTTCCCACCTCATCCCACCCCTCTGGGTTGTCAGAGAGGCCTGATATGAGTTCCCAGTCATACGGCAAACTCCGTATGTCTGTTTTACACATGGTTGTGCGTATGTCTCCATGCTGCTCTCCATTCGTCAGACTCTCTCCTCTACCCCCCGCATCCCCCAGGCCCACTGACAGCGGTGGAGACGCAGACATGAAGAACAGTCTTCTACAATAAACTTTGAATGTTTTATCCAACTGTAGCCTTACACATCACCTGCCTTTTCTTCCTGCTTGCCTCCCCCACCTCAAAACACGTGCTTGTGTGCACGCCTGCACACACGCGTGCGCGCACACACAGTGCTGTCCTCACCGAAGTGTCTTAGAGCTGCCTTTGACCTCTGGGTGTCTTCATTATTATTCCTTTTGTCTGGAATGATTTTCTTCCAGATGTCCCCGAGGCTGACACCCCGACTCCCTTATGCCTCTCCGTCACGTGTTTTTTCCATCAGTGAGACCTTCCCTGACGACCCTAGGTAATAGGTCACCTCCCTCCCTCCCTTCTCCCCCTGGCGCCCCTGTCCCTGTTGCACTACCCTATCTTTCTCTCTTGTTTTTTATTTCTTTGTTTTTTCTCTGTTGTACTTACTACCTCTTGACATATAATTACTTACTTGCTCTCTCCTCATTACTACAACTAGAATATGCATTCTATGAGGCAGGGTCTTTGTTTTCTGATGTAGAGCAACGCCACATATACCAGGAAATAAAAAAAACAGATATTGAATGAACATCAGTCTTGTGCAGGATTAATACCTTAAACATTACCTGAAAAAGTTGACTACCCCAAATAAGAAATGATTTGTGAAAATATGTTTCATTTTTCAGCATCTGTAGTTGTAGCTAAAATTTTTTTTAATATCTTAAACATTACCTGGAAAAGTTGACTACCCAAATAAGAAGTGACTTGTGAAAATATGTTTCACTTTTTAGCATCTGTAATTGTAGCTAAAAAGTTTAGTTCTAGATATCTGATACTGTTTAGCATCTTTCTTATTTTAGTAGTTTCTTATTTGTAAATTAAATTTTCTTATGTTGATGGAACAGATTCTTATTTTCTAGCCTACTATATGTTGATCTTAAAAGCAAATTTTTTTTTTTTTTTTGAGATGATATACCCCTTGAACTCCCTGGAGAAGGAAATGTCAACCCACTCCAGTATTCTTGCCTGGAAAATCCCATGGACTGAGGATCCTGGTAGGCTACAGTCCATGGGGTCACAGAGAGTTGGACACAACTGAGCAACTTCACTTCACCCCTTGAACTAATTGATGCAGAACATAATATGACCCATCCTTATTTGTTGGTTTACCACTGCAAACCTTCTTTTTCTCCTCACTTCCCTTCACCTAAGATGATTGTTGTAAAACTGGAACTTACTAAAAGTTTTGCATGCTTGAATGCAGTAAAGAAAATAGAAGACCAGATGAACACCTATGTCACATATTCTTGAATAATATTCCCACTGCTAGTGAAGTTCCTGCTGTTTTGTTTGATTATATGCTTATTTTTATATAACATAATTTTAATTCCTACAGTATACTTTAACATTTAAAGCAGAATATCTCAAAACTCTTTCTAAACAACATAGACTACAGTACTCAGCTAGGGAACAGTTTGAAATGGGCCACATCTCAGTCAGAATCTCTGAGAATGGTACTTGAGAACTTTTTATGTTTAATTCTTATGCACTAACCCTTGATTAAGAGGCTGGGACAACCATTTCTACATAATTCTTTGCACAGGATATTAGAGCAAAAGACTGTATTAGCTTCTGAGTGTAGAGTTTCAAATTTATTGTAATGAAATTACTCAAGTGTTTTTTAGTTGTTGGTGTTAAACTTACTGGTTCATATATTTGTTGATTCCCAGACAATATTTGCCCAATTTCAACACAGTCGAGAAAAAGCACTTCCCTCGGATAACATAAGGCATGCTCTGGCAGAAAGCTTCAAAGATGAGCAGCGATTTCAACTTGGCCTTATGGATGATGCTGCAGAATGCTTTGTAAGTATATCTGATAATCCTTAGGTCAGGATAGTAGTTTGCATCCCTTAAATGATGTACCTTTTGAGACAAATGAAGCATAAATTTATAGCAGTGGGAAAACATCAGAACGTAGATCCTTGTCTTACCCACCTTTCAAAGTTTTCAAAGCTCCACATGTGTTTTGTGTACTTTTGCTTTTGCTTGCTTGTGCTGCTCTAATTTTTGAGAGCTAGGATACTAAAATACTTTAACATTTATTTATTGGAGCAAAAAGGCTTACGATGTATAAATCATATCACTTAAGTCATTGTTCTGTTCCCTCAGGGATTGCACACACAACACGCTCTCCCAGTAGCATTTCTCATTTCATGCAGTGATTCTCTCTGGAAAAGAAGAGGATCTTGACGTTCAGCTGTCAGGGGCAGCAGTTCTCTTAGCCAGCTTACTCCAGGTTGAGAATCACTGACTGAGGTTGATGTTTTGAGACTCTGTTACCACCATACTGATAAATAGAGCATTCCTTTGCTGAAGGACATAGGTTGTATACTTTCTGAAATGTGCATGTTGATGATTAATTGTTTCAGTAACATTGATGTCACCTTTACTTAAGATGTGTGTGTGCTCAATTGATCAGTCGTGGTCTGATTCTGCGACTGTAGCCCGCCAGGTTCCTTTCACCATGAGATTCTCCAGGCAAGAATACTGTTGTGGGTTACCATTTTCTCCAGGGAATCCTCCCGACCCAGGGATTGAATCCGTGTTTCCTTCATCTCCCTCACTGGCAGACAGATTCTTTACCAGTGAGCCACCAGAGGATCCCTGGCTACTAGTGTCCTTTTTACCCCTATCCTTCAAGTTTGTTCTTAACAGCCATCATATTAATAGAATTTTTTTCAGATAAATGCTTACACATCAAATATTTATGTGATTCTAATCTGACTCTCTTCTGACATTTAAGGCTTTTTACATTTATACTCCAGCTTATCTCTGTTTTCTTTCTGAATTTTCCCTTAGTGAGATAGATTCATTCTGTTCCTCAAACATGTCTTTTAAATTCTAGTTTTATAGACTTTGCTCAGGTTCTTGAAATATTCAAAATTTTCCTAATCTGTTATTTGTTACAGTTCAGCCTGTCAGGCCTGCTAGATAATGTATCATCAAAGCACCCCAGTACATTCTCCAAATTTCCAAGGAATTTATTACTCTCTATAGAATTCATTTGTCATTTGTGTTTTTAAATGAACATCTTGAATCTTTTCTCAGACAGGTGGAAATCTTGACTAGTGCCCTTGCCATGTTGACTAAAGTGGGACAAAAATAGCACACATAGTCATGAAATATGCTTTTCATACTTCTCATGTTTACAATTGTCCGTTGTTTAAAATATAGATAGATTTTGCACAATACTGATTTCGCTTAAATGAAATATACTAATCCATGATATGATAATTCACAGGATATCTAGAAATGCAGACTTAATTAAATGAATTGTTATAAATGTCCTGAGGCAAAGGAAGGGATATTAACTAATTAAAAGAATTCATTGGTTAAGCTTTGGTGAAAAGCATAATTTGTTAAAGAAATTAATAACTCTTATTGATCTGTTTTACAAATCCAACCTTTTATTTGAAGTTTGTTGAAGAGTAGATTCCTTGCATTAGAGTATTAGTTCAGGTATTGTAAACCTTTATCATTGATGTTTTAATTTAAGGTGTATAGACTATCCAAATGATCCAAGCAGAGTATTTTTTTTTTAATTAATTGCTTTTTCTCAATGGGAAAACATTGAGAACATAGGAAATCTAGTTTTCTGATATTAAATTCTAGATGTCAGCTACCATGAATTGATTTTTTAAAAATCTTTTATTAAAATTATATTACATTATAATGTTTCTTTTATGAATTTTTTTTTTAAGCTGACACTACAAAAGAATAATTGAGCAGCATTTGAAGGCTTGGATAAAGAGGAAAACTGAAAAACTGACAACATATATGACACTCAATTTACCATTTTGGAAAATCTTTAGATTTTTAAATTTGTAAAGCTAAAAAGAGTTGTATTTTGAAGTGTCCTATGCAAGATTTGCAATTCATTTGTCTTTTAATTTTTCAATTAGGAAAATATATTGGAGAGGATTCACTTTCACATAGTGCCAAGCAGAGATGCAGACATGTGTACCTCTAAATCTTGTATCACTCACCAGAAGTTTGCTATGACTCTATATGAACAGGTGAGAGGGATTTTCACTGTTTTAGTAGAGGATATGTTTATGTTTTATGATTGACAAATTAGACATGTGTTTTTACCTGCAGTGTGTGTGTCGTAGCTGTGGAGCATCATCAGATCCTCTACCCTTTACAGAATTTGTACGGTACATTTCTACAACAGCCCTGTGGTAAGAGCTTATTAAAGCATATTTACCAGAGATGTTAGTAGTAATGTGTGTGATCACATAGAGCCTCTACTTTATGAAACTATAGCATATATGAATATCTACTCTGAGAGATGCACAATGTGCTGCCATCACAGGTACTAAGTGATGTCTATCTCAGTTTTGGTTGTTTCTGATTTACCAAATATAGATGTCACTCAGTAATGACAAATGTACAAAATATTAGTCAAAATGGTTATTTATCTATTTATAGCAAGGTTTTGGAACTATGGAAGAGAGCTAAGTTGAATGGTAAATGAAACAGTACGTGATTTCTTCATTTTTGCTAAGGTGTTACCTTTGCAGTGACCATGTCCCTGCATGGTGATGGAAGCTAGGGTAAGCAGATGAGGAAGAAAAAAATAAAAATAACCCTCTGTTAGATTTATTGGATTTAAAGCTTCAACATTCACCTGAAATAAAAATTTGCCAGGCTTGTCTCCTTGCCCCCTTCCTGGTCTTGAACTAGCTTAGGGATCCAAAGGTGATGCCTAGGCTTTACATAATAAGAATTGTTTGAACACTGCAACAGGTATTTGAGAGTATAAGTATTTGATATATGAAAGCATTGAATAAGATCATAAATGTTTGCAGATACTTTAATACTTTAATACAAAATATAAAACATGGAACAGTCATTATCAATCAGAATACATCAGTATAGCAGTTAGCTGCTAAATGCTACCAGTGTTTTTATCTCTGTACAAAGTGAGTGTTAGGTGCTCATCAATTTCATGCTGTTATTAAACTTCCTTGATATTTTGAATATAACATTTCTTAAAGATCATCCAATGTAGTAAGCTGGTAATTTGTATATATACAGAGTTGGGAGACATTGGTTTAAAGGAACAGTCTTTACACTTTAGTTAGTTGTAGTCAATTTCATTCATCTGATATGAAAAGTAGAATGGTGTTTGAATAAGGATAAACTGCAAATTAAAAACTGTAAAACTTTAGGTCAGTTTTGAAAGTGGAAAATTATAGTGCTCTGAGACAGTATCTTAGGTAAAAAGAATTAGAGCTCCATCCGTTTCTTCCTGGTCCCCAACATGAATTGCAAAAGCCCAGACTTTGAATCCTAATTAACTTTCTTTTTATTGGTTATAAGTATTGAATACAATTGTTCAGTTGCAAGAGCCCAGACTTAGAATTCTAATTATCTTTCTTTTTATTTGTAATAAATATTGAATACAGTTATTCAATGCTATTATGTTCTAGGCTTTACATAAATTGTTGCTTTTAATCTTAACAAAAACTTTTGTTGTTCAAGAATAGGCTTAATAAGATTAATTTGGTAAATGGATGAATTAAGATTGAAACCCAGGTCTAGGTTAATTTCAAATTCAAAATATGTCAGGTTAAACACCACCCTGATGCTGTCAATTTTGTAAAAAAAAAAAAAAATTACATGCACCTTGAATGAGCCTGTCAGATTTAGTGATTTCTGGTCTGCTTGTGAAGTGCTTTAGAGGAACTGGTACATTAAGTTGTTATTGAATATTGCCTATTATTGTAACTATTGAACTGTAAAATAAATTCAGCTCTGGGAAGGTTAAATTACTATAAAGTAAAACCAGAGCACCAAGAATAGAAACTAGTAGGAGTATTGAGCTTGCATTATATATCTTTTTGGAAATGCTAAGTAGTTGTCTCAGTTCAGTTCTGTTCAGTTGTGTCCAACTCTGCATCCTCATGGACCACAGCACGCCAGGCCTCCCTGTTCATTGGACAACTCCCGGAGTTTACTCAAACTCATGTACATTGAGTCGGTGATGCCATGATGCTATCCAGCCATCTCATCCTCTGTCATCCCTTTCTCCTCCTGCCTTCAATCTTTCCCAGCATCAGCGTCTTTTCAAATGAGTCAGTTCGTCGCATCAGGTGGCCAAAGTATTGGAGTTTCTTGGAAGGAGCAGCAGTCCTTCCAGTGAATATTCAGGACTGATTTCCTTTAGGATGGAGTGATTGGATCTCCTTGCAGTCCAAGGGACTCTCAAGAGTCTTCTCCAGCTCCACAGTTCAAAGGCTCAATTCTTTGGTGCTCAGCTTTCTTTAAGTCCAACTCTCACATCCATCCATGACTACTGGAAAAACCATAGCTTTGACTAGACGGACCTTTGTTGGCAAAGTAATGTTTCTGCTTTTTAATATGCTGAAAATTCCAAGGAACAAGCATCTTTTAAGTTCATGGTTGCAGTCACCATCTACAGTGATTTTTGGAGCCCCCCAAAATAAAGTCTCTCACTGTTTCCCCATCTATTTCCCATAAAGTGATGGGACCAGATGCCATGATCTTAGTTTTCTGAATGTTGAGTTTTAATCTAACTTTTTCACTCTCCTCTTTCACACATTCATCAAGAGGCTCTTTAATTCTTCGCTTTCATAAGGGTGGTGTCATTTGCATATCTGAGGTTATTGATATTTCTCCCTGATTTCTTGATTCCAGCTTGTGCTTTATCCAGCCCAGCATTTCTCATGATGCATATAAGTTAAATAAGTAGTTGTCTAATGATACTTAATACCCTGTTACGTGAAAATTAGACTCTAGGAGAGGTTCGATAGAAATTGGCACAGATAACCCTCCCTAGATTCTTTAAGAAATGGTTAGCATTCGTAATAGGAACAAAAAGCACAAACCTGGCTTAAGTAGCTTTGGTTATGATTTCTGCTTTAATCATCAAAGGGCCTTCTCTTAGGTAAAAATAATTTTGTGTCTGGAAACTTTAAGCTAGAGGGGGAGACTTTCCTAAAGTTTGTTGTTCTTGTTAGGCAAAAGTTGAAACTCAAGTCTCTATTTGTTAAGTAATAATGTAAAAGAAACAGTTAACTTACAATTACCTTGAGATGGAGCATCTTACATCAATTCATATAGTTCCAAACAATGGTGTGTGATTTCATGTTATTTTATCCTGTTTTTGACCTAATTTCTTTCATCATATACTGCCAAATTTCATTATGTTTCATGTCATGGAAATTTACTTTATGGTTAACTTTTCTAACAAAATTATGTTTTAAGATAGAAAAAATGATCATACCTATATTAATAACCTAATATTTTTGATGCAAAAATATTAGATCTTTTTTAAGTTCATAGGCCAGATTTGGGACCGTTTGTTTCTTTCGTAGCAATGAAGTTGAGAGAATGATGGAAAGGCATGAGCGCTTTAAGCCTGAAATGTTTGCAGAATTGCTGCAAGCAGCAAATACAACTGATGACTACAGGAAATGTCCTGTAAGTATAATTCAGAAAATGTTAGTGTGCGTCTATGTTTGTAAATTTGAGAATAGAAATTGCCATGCAAATATTAATTAAATCTGGAATTAATTCTAAGAATTACTTTTTTTAGTGTTCTTGAGGTAATTTATACCGTTGAGCTCTTCACTTCAACATTATTTCTTTAAAAGCATGTTACTTTGTGAAGGATTTAAGGTGGCATACATTGATTACTTTTAATCTCTGAAGCCTGTCATTTGACTAAACTGAAAATTTCATTTCTGTTTTTCTTTAAACATTACAAATGGTATTATTCTTTTCTCAGGTGATATTGTTAGTGACTTTAAGGTCATTATTTCTGCTTTTCTTAAGGTTGAATTCTTATTTTAACAGATTTACAAAAGTACCAAAGAAAAGTTCTTTGATTTAAAATAAATTTGTTTAATCAATAATTAAGACTGATAGTTTGTTAGAAGTCTTTTAATATGCTGAATAAATTTCTGATACATACTTTGCATAATACAAGCTAGGTAAGGCATTACCTTTGATATATTTGTTTTGATAATTTCAAGAGTTTGTCTTTTTTGTTTTTCCTTAGAGTAACTGTGGCCAGAAAATAAAAATTCGGCGTGTTTTAATGAACTGCCCAGAGATTGTTACAATTGGTTTAGTCTGGGACTCCGAGCATTCTGACTTGACTGAAGATGTTGTTCGGAATCTGGCAACCCAGCTTTATCTTCCTGGGGTATAATAATTCTTTTCATTCTCTTCCTTTTTGTTTTTAAATTCCTCTGAAACATCTTCATATATTACACTCTATGTTGTTTTTCAGAACTAAATTTTCTTTCTAAAGGAAATAATTTGCAGATGTAACTCTGATAAAGTTACATCAGATTAGGCTAACTGGCATGCCTTTCTCGCTTTCTGTTATAAACTAATTCATCATATACTCTATCCTTTTTATCACTCTAGAATAATGATGATATGATACTGTATGCATCTGTGTATATGCTTGTTTGGGTGTATATGATAATGATTATGAATTATAAATATCAAGCTAGAAAATATTAAGGTTTAAAATTTATCTGTAGCTCTGATTTTTTAATGTGCATATTACTATCTTATTTTAAATTGATTTATATTACAGTTAAACTTTTAGTTATCTTTTAGGTAGTATGGTTAATATATATTAAAATATGCAATTCAACCATTAATTATCAGGAAATGTGTGATTTATATCATTTTATGTATGTAAAGTCTCTGTTCTGTATTCAAGATGCTGTGCTACTGAACTAAGTTGTAATAATTACATTTTGTTAGACATCATGTTTCTTATAGACTAATTGAAAATAATAATTCTGTTAACAGTGTGATGTGGTGTCTTTAGTACTAATAAAATATCAGTTTGGGACAGTATGCATGAGAAATGTTTGTCATAGAGAATCAAATGCATGACTCATAAGATGATTGTTCCTTGTCTTTGAAAAGATAACTATTAAATATACATTATTTTTAAACAGCTTTTTTATAGAGTTACTGATGAAAATGCCAAAAATAGTGAACTTCACCTTGTTGGCATGATTTGCTACACCAGCCGACATTACTGTGCCTTTGCTTTTCATACCAAGAGTTCCAAATGGGTATTTTTTGATGATGCAAATGTGAAAGAGGTAAGTGACACTTGACTAACTGGAATAATTACTGTGGTTTTTACTTTTGAGGGATAAATGATATAATAATGATAAAATTATATAAAAATAATAATTATATGCAAATGCTTATATAAATTAGTAATAAGTGGACTTAATTATAATAGCATCTTTAAAGACCTTCAGTATTAAAAATTAGAAAGCCAAATCAGTTCAGTTCAGTCGCTCAGTCATTACCGACTCTTTGCGACCCCATGAACTGCAGCACGCCAAGCCCGCCTGTCCATCACCAACTCCCAGAGTCCACCCTAACCCATGTTCATCGAGTCAGTGATGCCATCCAACCATCTCATCCTCTGTCATCCCCTTCTCCTCTTGCCCTCAATCTTTCCCAGCATCAGGGTCTTTTCAAGTGAGTCAGCTCTTCACATCAGGTGGCCAAAGGATTGGAGTTTCAGCTTCAACATCAGTCCTTCCAATGAACACCCAGGACTGATCTCCTTTAGGATGGACTGGTTGGATCCCCTTGCAGTCCAAGGGACTCTCAAGAGTCTTCTCCAATACCACAGTTCAAAAGCATCAATGCTTCAATGCTCAGCTTTCTTTATAGTCCAACTCACATCATACATGACCACTGGAAAAACCATAGCCTTGGTTAGACGGACCTTTGTTGGCAAAATAGTGTCTCAGCTTTTTAATATGATATCTAGGTTGGTCATAACTTTCCTCCCAAGGAGTAAGTGTCTTTTAATTTCATGGCTGCAATCACCATCTGCAGTGATTTTGGAGTCCAGAAAAATAAAGTCAGCCACTGTTTCCACTGTTTCCCCATCTATTTGCCATGAAGTGATGGGATCGGATGCCATGATCTTAGTTTTCTGAATGTTGAGCTTTAAGCCAACTTTTTCAGTCTCCTCTTTCACTTTCATCAAGAGGCTCTTTAGTTCCTCTTCACTTTCTGCCATAAGGGTGGTATCATCTGCATATCTGAGGTTATTGATATTTCTCCCGGCAATCTTGATTCCACTTGTGTTTCTTCCAGCCCAGTGTTTCTCATGATGTACTCTGCATATAAGTTAAATAGGCAGGGTGACAATATACAGCCTTGACGTACTCCTTTTCCTATTTGAAACCAGTCTGTTGTTCCATGTCCAGTCCTAACTGTTGCTTCCTGACCTGCATACAGGTCTCACTAGGCATAAAAGAAGTACAAATTCAATTCACAATGAGATTGCATTACTCACCTATTAGAATGCCTAAAATTAAAAAGACTGGTCACAGCAAAAGCTGACCAGGATGTAGAACAGCTGGATCTCTCACAAGGCTGATGGAAGTGCAAAATTGGATAATCACTTGAGAAAACAGTTATAAATTCAAATGTATACTTAGCATACAACCTAGCAATTCCATTCCTGTAAAAGTATGTATCCATACATTATTTATAATTCAGTGTTCTTAGTAGTTCTATTTATAGTAACCAAAACTAGAAACAACTCAAATAGACAAAGATAACTCATCGGGTAAATAGAGAAAGGAGTTGTGGTATAACCATACAATGGAACATAATAATCATCAATAAAAGGAATGAGCTATTGATACAGACAACTATTGAGTGTGGAAAAATCTCAAAAGCATTTTGCTAAATGAGAGATGTACAAGCTGGATTTAGAAAAGACAGAGGAACCGGAGATGAAATTGCCAACATCTGTTGGATCATAGAAAAAAGCAAGGGAATTCCCCCCAAAAAATCTACTTCTGCTTCACTGACTATGCTAAAGCCTTTGACTGCATGGATCACAAAAAAGTGTGGAAAATTCTTAAAGAGATGGAAATACCAGACCAGCTTACCTGCCTCCTGAGGAACCTGTGTGCAGGACAAGAAGCAACAGTTAGAACCAGATATGGAGCAATGGACTGGTTCAAAATTGGGAAAGGAGTACATAAGGCTATCAGTTGTCACCTTGCTTATTTAACGTATATGCAGAGTACATCATATGACATGCCAGGCTGGATGATTCACAAGCTAGAATCATGATTGCCAGGAAAAATACCAACAACCTCAGATATGCAGATGATAACCACTCTAATGGTAGAAAGCAAAGAGGAACTCAAGAGCCTCTTGCTAAGGGTGATAGAGGAGAGTGAAAAAGCTGGCTTAAAATTCAACATTAAAAAAACTAAGATCATGGCATCCAGTCTCATCACTTCATGGCAAATAGAAGGGGAAAAAGTGGAAACAGTGACAGACTCTACTTATTTATTATATAATACTTTGATATGGCAGTTTATTAAGAAGTTCTGTTTGAGTCAGTTTGCAGAAGCATTTTGGCACTCCTATTTTGCATCCTTATAGGTTAAATTGTCAAAATTTGAAGAAAGAACTGGGTATATAGTCACTCTGAGTTTTATGTTTGTTTTGTTTTCAGATTAGTCTAGTTTTTCAAGTATCTCCGAATCCCAAGTAAAGAGAGTAATCAGCTAAATGTGTGTAATATGAACATGTTCCTCAGGAATTTTTAAAGGTCCTTTTCTTATCTAAGCTAATATTCTAGAAAGCCTTTTTGTTTCATTGGTTTTGTTTTTGAATGAATGTTAGAGAGGTGTAATTTACAAACATTAAAATACACCCGTTTTAAGTTTACAGTGGATAGTAACAGCTGCGTACATGCCTGTGTAACCTCCACGTTCACTGTATGGAGCATTTTCACGACTCCAGAAAATCCTGCCCTGTCCCTTTGCTGTCGTCAGCTTTCCACCCTGCTGCTGCTGCTGCTAAGTCACGCCAGTCGTGTCCAACTCTGTGTGACCCCATAGACGGCAGCCCACCAGGCTCCCATCCCTGGAATTCTCCAGGCAAGAATACTGGAGTGGGCTGCCATTTCTTCCTCCAGTGCATGCAAGTGAAGTCGCTCAGTCGTGTCCGACTCTTCGCGACCCCATGGAGTTTAGCCTACCAGGCTCCTCCGTCCATGGGATTTTCCAGACAAGAGTACTGGAGTGGTGTGCCATTGCCTTCTCCGCTTTCCATCCTAGGCCCCAGGAAATCACTGATCTCACCATAGATTCGTTTTGCTCATTTTACAAGTTTTATATGTGTGGTATCTTATAATATGATTTCTCTGTGTTTGGCCTCCTTTGCTAAGCATATATATACCTTTTAACATACAGTCATATATTATAATGTGTATTGTGTCGTGTGTATCAGTGCATTATTTTTATTGTTGTGTTCCATTTTATGACCGAATAACAGTTTATCCATTCACTTGAGTTATGAACAGTCTTCATGTGAAAGTCCTCTTTTCCCTTAATCTTAGATAACATCCAGAAGTTGGATTTCTGGGTTGTATGGTGTGTGTTAATCTTTACAAGGGACTGGCAACAAATTGATCTCCAAAGTGATTGTACAGTTTACATCCCTGCCAGCCATGTACTGGAGTTCCAGTTGCTCCACATTCCCAGGAGCACTCCGTGTTGGTGGTCATCTTAACGTTAGCCCTTATAGCGAATGTATGATGTTTTCTCAGTGTGGTTTTAATTTGCATTTCTCTTATGGTTAATAATGTCTTAAGTATTCTTTCATGTGCTTATTGGCCATTTTTTATGTCTTTTTGGTTAAGTGTTCAGATGTGTTGTACATTTTTCAAATTGGATTATCTTTTTAATCAGTTGTAGTCATTCTTTATTCTGGTCACCAGTTCTTTATTGGATTTTTGTGGCTTTTTTTCGTTTTTTTCATTTTCTTAATGGTGTCTTTCAAAGAGCAGAAGTTATTAATTCATTTTGATGAAGCCAGTTTTATGATTTTTTTCTTCTCTGACTTGTTTGATGTCCTATCTAAGAAATCTTTACCTCCCCCAAGGTTGTTAAGATTTTATGTTTTGTTTTCTTCTATAGGACTTCTCTGGAGGCTCAGACAGTAAAGAATCTGCCTGCAATGCAGGAGACTGGGTTCAATCCCTGGGTCGGGAACATCCCCTGGAGAAGGAAATGGCAACCCACTCCAGTATTCTTGTTTAAGAAATCCCATGGATAGAGGAGCCTGGCAGGCTATAGCCCATGGGGTTGCAAGGAGTCGGACACCGCTGAGCGACTAACGCTTTCACAGCACTTTCTTCTTTATAGTTTCTTCATGACTCATTCTGACTTCATTTTTATGCTTTTAGTGAAACGATGTCAAAGTTCATTTTTTCATATGGCCATCCACTTGTTCCAGCACCATTTGTTTAATAGACCATTATATTTCTCCATTAAACTGCTTGAAGTCTGTCAAAAGTCAGTCAACCATGTGTATGTAAAGCCTTTCAAAATTTGATATTCTAGATCTTGATACAGATATAATCTTGCTCATCAGTGTTTTAATCTTTAAAAGATTTTTATGTTGACTAGTTTCTAAATAAAATTAATTGTATAATCTGATGAATATTTGAACTGCTAGTATCTGTGTGTCTTTAAAATTTTTTTAATATACAAAATAATTCAGTCTCTGCCTTTTCATGTAAATGCATTGATTGCAAAGTTCTGTTTCTATTCATTGTGATTTTTTAAGGTTGGAAGTAAATGGAAAGATGTGGTCTCCAAGTGTATCCGATGCCATTTCCAGCCATTGCTTTTGTTTTATGCGAACCCAGATGGCACAGCGGTTTCCACTGAAGATGCACTCAGGCAGGTCATCAACTGGTCACATCATAAATCTATTGCAGAAAATATAGGTAATTCTTTAAAAGTTCTTTTTAGTGTTTTTCATTGTCAGAATCACACTAGGAATACTAATATACTGAATAAGAAATGAATGTTGTGGATAATCTCAAAATTTAGTTTCAGTGGAGTCCAGGAAAATTCTATACTTTGAGTTAGTCTTTATAAAGAAGCTTTCCTCATCTGTGGCCTCAGAAGCACCTTCAGCAGCCACCCACCACCCTGCTCACACAAGCCCAGGAGGGGTTACTTGGCTGGTACCTCTTACTAGTGATGAGTACTGAGATTTCAAGTAAGTTAGTACACCAGAAGAGTCCAGAGGAGCTAGGCCACTTTTGAATGTATTAACAGCGCATGTAGAAATCCTTAAAAGATGTCAGTCCTCTAAGTTTTTTTAAATAATTTTCTCATTAGTATTAAAAGTGTCTGAAAAGATGATTTAAATCTCTCTTCTTGTGGTAGAGAGGATGAAGGGAATGAAACATTTTTGTTGGTCTTTTTAAGGATGTGAAAAGCCCTCAATTTCTAAGTCAGAAAATTCAAAAGAAAACGGATTTGGTGATCAGACAAAACAGAGAGAAAATCAGAGATTTCAAGCAGATAGCATGTCATCATTTAATCGGAGCCACATTCAAACAAGTGGCGGTAGAGGACCAGGTATGTGTTTTTTGGGGGGGGTTGTTCTGTGCGACATGTGGGATCTTCGTTCCCCAACCAGGGGGTGAACCATTGGACTGCCAGAGAATTCCCGACCAGGTATATACTTAAATTTTCATTTTTACATTGTCCTTGAGTGGTTAAGCTTCCCCGCTTTTCACTTGCTGTATGTAATTCTTTTTAAAGACCAGAAAGAGAATCCTTAACTAGCTTTTCTTGGCCATGAGGAGAAAATAGCAAATAGAAAGAAAATTTTGTCTTCTGACTTAAGCATTTGTCTGAGACCTGTAGTTTTATTTGAACTTTGATTCAACTGGTGGTTGTTTTTCTGTGTGCTCAAGGCTGTACCTAATAGGCTGGAGGCAATCTGGACTGTCACCAAAGAAAGCTATGATATGGATATGGCCTTTCCTTCAAGGAGTTAGTTATTAACTTGGAGAGGAAAAACATTTAGTTAATAGTTTGGCTCGTATGCGAAAATCAAATTTAGCATTAGTGAATGCAACAGGAGTTTGAACTTACTATTGTTGTAGTTTATTTTTAACCTCTTGTTTATTCAACTCTCTCTTGTCATTATCAACCTACAACTTTAATTTTCACAAATGAAGATCTGTGGTTAGGATCTAACATGAGATATCAAAGTATGGTGTATAATTATGGTTTAGAAATATATATAACTAATTGAGTGACTTTTGAGGATGATTTTATAAAGGGCTTTAAAATATATTAATGAAATAATGTCTAACCATAAAGTAACCCATTTAAGCAAGAGTGATAAGATTCAGAATTCACAATTATCATTAACAAAAAATTAAAATAAATGCTTTTTAAAGTTCTTAATGGAACTATACCTTTTTCCATCTTATATATTCATCTGTATTTTGTTAATGTATTACATCTTAAATTTTAAATGTAGTGCAGTTTGTACTTTTATTGAATAGCATGAAAAATGATCTGTGTTGTTATAAGAACTTTTTTTTTTTTTAGTTAAGTCAAGTCACAGTGATCAAAGGGAAAAAATAAAAGACATTTCCAGAGAATGTGCTCTAAAAGCCATTGAACAGAAAAACTTACTTTCCTCAGAAAGGAAAGATTTGGAAAGGGGACAGAGAAAAGATTTGGGTAGACATAGAGGTAAGTTAAGAACTTGTAGCATTCATTGGAAAAAGGCAGCCACAATCTTACTTTAAAGCTAACTTTTATAAATTAATACAATTTAATATAATTTCTTTAGGTATGTTATATATCTTAGTATGATTTCTATAATATGCCTGTTACATCTATAAATGTAAAATTTTCCTAGTTCTTATTCAATTATAGCCTGGAAAATTTGTGTTTTTTTATAGTTTTACCTTTTAACTATAAATTCAATTCACCTGTATGGTACATTCAAATACAAGGAAGGTTATACAATTAAATAAAAAGAAATTTTTTTCCTGCAACCCTTGACCTTTGCTCTGTTTCGCTGTTAACAGTTTCCATGATCATATCTTACTTTTATGGTTTTATACCCTTTTCTTTATGGACATATCATGATTTAACTGATACTTCTAGGCTTTAAAACTTGATTTAATATTATTGCTGCAGTGAAATCCTTTCACAGTTACCTTTGTGTACTTTTTGTATGTAGCCATAGCATAAAATTTTTTCAGAATGATTACTGGGTTAGAGTATGTTTATTTTCAGTTTTGATCGGTGTGGCTCAGTTGCCCTCCTAAAAATACTTGACAGTCTGTACTCCCACCAGTGGTGATTAGGTATCTGTTTCCAACAATAATTGGTTTAGTAAACTTTTAATCTTACTAATATAATAGGTGGGGAGATATGTTTATTTTTATGCTTTCTATTATGAATGAGATAGAATACTTTTTAAAAACTTCTCTAATTTCCTTGTGAGCTGCTTTGCAGATGATTTATCACATCAAGCATAAATAGAGATTTCAAAAGCAATTTTTAATCTCAAAGCACTATGTGATTTAAATAACTATGATTATTACTGTTTAACTTTTCTTCCCAAAGAAGGTGTTTGGCTTGTGATTAAAAAGTGATTCTGAAGAGCTTATGTATCATTGTTTACTTATTTATTTTTAAAGATTTGGTTGATGAAGACCCTCCACATTTCAAGACTGGATCACCTCCTACCCTAAATGGCTTTAGACAGTATGGGAATCCACATCTATATCATAGTCAAGGAAAAGGACCATGTAAGCATGACCGAACTGCCCATCAGAGTCGAACTTCTGCACAAACCTTAAGTTCAAGTAAATCCCAGATTCTTGCTTCAGGAGAGAAAATAACTGGCAAAGTTAAGAGTGACAGTGGTACTGGGTATGATACAGACAGTAGCCAGGATTCTCGTGATAAAGGAAGCAACTCTAATGGCAGCAATAAAAGCCGAAACCGAGGTTGGAAACCTATGAGAGAAACATTAAATGTTGATAGTATTTTTAGTGAAAGTGCAAAAAGGCAGCAGAGTCCAAGGCATAAATCAAATATCAATAACAAGTCTAAATGTAGCAAAGATCAGAGTTTTAACAATTGGCCAAAAGAGAATCCAAAGCAAAAGTGTTTAATGACTATATATGAAGATGAAATGAAGCAGGAAATGGGAAGCAGGAGTTCCCTCGAATTTAATGGAAAAGTAGCAGAGAAAAATAAAGCCCTCAAAGAAACTAAAGTTCATGGTGACAACTGGCAGATGCAAAGGACAGAGTCTGGATATGAAAGCAGTGATCATATCAGTAATGGCTCTGCTAATTTGGACTCACCTATTATTGATGGAAATGGTACAGTGGTGGATATCAGTGGTGATAAAGAAACCACATCTATCAGGTAATACACAAATTATATAAATGATTTTCCCCCATCCATTCTCTCTTTTTAGTTACTTGAAGGAACTTTCAAAGATTGGGGTCAGTTAAATGAAAAGCAAAGAGCTTGAGCTCAGAGTAACCTGGGATATTGCAGGTTATTTGATATTTTGAGTTTCTCTTTTTAATAGTTATTTTCTCAATCCCAAGATGATAACTGTTTATTTTGAAGAAATTTAGAAAGTAAAATGCATTATCATTTTGCCACTAAAAGCTATTGATATATACTACAAGTTTTAAACCATAGATTTAAATTGGTATAATCTGTCATTAAGCTCATTGCTTAATTCTTCAATCTATTTAATGCTCATTATCCCATCTCTAACATCTGTAACTCAAGAGCTGGGGTTATTTTCCTCTGTCATAACCCAGTTCCATGAAGGAGATATTTTTCCTTTAGCAAATATTAAAGAGTACAGCCAAGTAACTAAGTTTGTGTTCCATTAATTCTTAATTCTGAAAACGTTTATTATATTACTGTTAGCAGTCTACTTCCACATCTCTGTGTAACCTCTAAAATATGTCCACAGCTTAGGTCAGTTAACCCACTGTGTTTTCCCTTAATTAGTCTAAAACATCTTAATTTGATATTTGCTGGTGTTTTATCACATTGATTATTGAAAAGCCAGATTTGCAAAAAATGACCACCCATGTTTTACTAAAATGATCATTATGATGAAGACCTAGGGAAGTTTTTTTATTTGGCGGGGTGATTTCATAATACTTCTTAAGGTATTAGAAAGATCAGGACTTTGTAACCAGATAGGCTTAGATTTAAGTTATTGAGCAAATTAATTTGACTTTCACAGCCTTAATCTGTGACATGAGGATAATAACTGTTGTAAAATGAGGTTATTAACTACTTTTAAGTATTGTTGTGAGATGTAATTAATCCCCTAGAGCAGCAAATGGTGTATAATAATTGTTTAACAAATGTTGTTTCCTTTATTTTTCTTAGGGTAAAGTAAATAATAATCCATGATAGCTGATATGTTTGGTGTGTGTTTTATTTTATTTTCTAGTGATCAGATTAAGACAAGCAACCTAAACACAGAACGTGTGAACTATACCTCCCAACAGAGCAAAAATCACTTAGAAGGTAAAGTTTTTATTTAAATATATTGTAATAGTAGCAGTAAAAATTAAATCATGATATTAAGAGTAAAGTAGCTGAAGACAGTCCTTCTACTGATGAGTTGATGAATAATGAGGATGGAAGTTGGGAGAGTTTATGCTTGAAGTCTTAAAGGATGCAGAGCTACTTCAGGAAGTAGGAAAAAGGGCAAGTGTGTCAGCCAGGCGAGGCTAGATTCTGGGCTGTGCAGTGGTAACAGCCTGAAAATCTCAGTGTCTTAACACAAGACTGTTTCTTGCTCACACACATGTCCAGTCGAGGTCAGCATGATGTCTCTTCCGGGTGAGCACTCAGGGCCTGAGACGCATGGTACCTGCATCTCCACCAGTGTTTCTCTAATTGTTACAGTAGTGTGGGAGAGGACAGTGAGGGGACACAGCATGGAGAATCAGTCACGTGTAGGGTCTTAAAACTTTCAACCCAGAAGCGATCCAGGTGCTTCCGCCCACATCTCACTGGCCGAGCAACTCTTCAGTCAGGCTAATATCACAGAGCATGGGAAAGGGTGGTTTACCGGTGCATTCAGTCTGTATGAACACTCCTGATGTCTGCCACATGCATTAAGGGTAGACAGAAAACCTGATAAACACCCTGTTGGAAAAGTTCAGTTTGGAAGCAGTAAATGTGTAATGGTGTGACATTATTACAGGTGATTTGTTAGCAACATAGAGCAGCTCAGAAGCAAAGAAAATTAGACGTTTGAATGTGTGTAGAATTTGGGATTGTTACTGAGGTTATATCTGAAGAATTTGGGAAATGGGGTTCAAGGAAAATGGATGAGCAAGGGGATTATAGAGGTTGCAGTCAAAGACATTGCCTTCAAATTTTAGAATTCAGAGGATTAGAAGGGATACAATTTTTAACAATGAAAAACAGCCATGATGAACACATTTTAAAGTTTGTTTTTAGTCTTTATCTTCCTTAAGGCTTTTATGGAGATTATTTTTCAGGTTGCAGATGTTAAATATGATTAAATGTTTTAAGTATTTTGTTTTCTTCAGATGGTATAATATCAGAAGGAAGCACTTATATTAAGGAAATAACCTTCCTTTCCCATATAAAATGTCTCGCCTGTTTTAAAAATCTGATAAAAGTCTGGTAACCAAGTATTACAGGAAACAGTAAGGGGCTGGCCAAAAAATCAACAGCCAAAGTCAGTAAAAACTGAACAATAATTGCAAGTTCAGTGCTCTGTACAAAATGATGCTTGCTTCCTGGCATTAATAAAAACACAAGGTCATAGAAATTTTGATGGTTCAGAGTGCTTTGCTATAAGAACTCTGTAGTGGATTTCCCCATTTAATATGAAAGAGTATATATGTAACCCACTTAAAAATATTCTTTTTAATTATAAAATACATAACAAAATTTGTCATTCTAATCATTTTTAAGTAAAGATTGCGTGATAATAACTACATTCACATTGTTTTGCCATGGTCACTGACATCTATCTCCATAGTTCTTTCACCTTCTCAAATTGAACTCTATCCCATTAAACAACTCCCCATTTCCTCCTCCCTCCAGCCCCTGGCAACTGCTGTTCTACTTTCTGGCTCTTCAAATTTGACTACTGTAGATACCTCATATAAGTGGAATTATACAGTATTTGTCTTTTTACAACTGGCTTATTTCATTCGTTAATGGGCTTCCCTCATAGCTCAGTTGGTAAAGAATCTGCCTACAAGGCAGGAGACCCCAGTTCAATTCCTGGGTTGGGAAGATCCTCTGGAAAAGGGATAGGCCACCCACTCCAGTATTCTTGGGCTTCCCTTGTAGCTCAGCTGGTAAAGAATCTGCCTGCAATGCAGGAGACCTGGGTTTGATCCCTGGGTTGGGAAGATCCCCTTGGAGAAGGGAACAGCTACCCACTCCAGTATTCTGCCCTGGAGAATTCCAGGGACTACACAGTCCATATGGTTGCAGAGTCAGACACGACTGAGCGACTTTCACTTACACTGTTTCGTTTAGCACAGTGTCTTCAGAGTTCCTCCGTGTATCAGAATTCCACTCCTTTTTTAGGCTGAATAACATTACATTATATGACGTAACACATTTTGTTTGTCCACATTTGGGTTAGTTCTGCCTTTTGGCTATTGTATGAAATGCTCCTATTTATATAGATACCCGAAATCCCTGCTTTCAGCTCTTTTCAGTATATACCCAGAAGTGCAATTTGTGGATCCTTTGGCAATTTTATGTTTAATTTTTTGAGGCATCACTACACTATTTTTCATAGCAGCTGCAGCATTTTACATTTCCACCAGCAGTGCACAAAGGTTCCAGCTTCTCCACCTCCTCACCAGTACTTGTTATTTTCTATTTTTTTTTTTTAATAATTGCCATCTTAGTGGGTATGAGGTGGTATCTTTTTGTGGTTTTATGTAACCCACCTTTTATTTAACTACATTAATTGCATTACATTACAAATATTATTTCTTATTTAATAAACTTCAAAACCTGTAAGAGTTCTTTAAGCTAGTTTTTGCTTGTGTGCATGCATGCTAAGTCACTTCAGTCATGTCTGACTCTTTGTGACCCCATGGACTGTAGCCCACCAGGCTCCTCTGTCCATGGGATTCTCCAGGCAAGAATATTGCCATGCTCTCCTCTAGAGGATCTTCCAGACCCAGGGATTAAACCCCCATTTCTTAAGTCTCCTGCATTGGTAGGCATTTTTTTTTTAACCACTAGCACCATCTGGGAAGCCCCGTCTTTGCTTCAGTTCAGTTCAGTCGCTCAGTCATGTCCGACTCTTTGCGACCCCATGAATCACAGCACACCAGGCCTCCCTGTCCATCACCAACTCCCAGAGTTTACTCAAATTCCTGTCCATTGAGTTGGTGATGCCATCCAATCATCTCATCCTCTATCATCCCCTTCTCCTCCTGCCCCCAATCCCTCCCAGCATCAGGGTCTTTTCCAATGAGTCAACTCTTTGCATGAGGTGGCCAAAGTGTCTTTGCTTATGGAACCTTTATTAAAGTGCATACCTTATGGTATCCATATGTGTGTTCCCCTCCGCTAGTCTTTGATTGAGAACATGTTAAAGTGGGTATAGCAGTTTATTTCCTAAGCTAAAAGGTTGCCCTGTGTGGATTTTTTTTTTTCCCCAGTAAAGCACAATTTAGTTTTTTTGTGGCATGGTATCATTTTCTTGGATTTCTCCTATTTCTTATTTATAAAATTGGGCTCACATACATTATTGACCTGAAGAATCACTTTCTATCCATGGATAAAAGACTTTCACAAAGTTAAAGAACCTTAGAAAAAAATTTTTTATTTCTATATTCTGTTTGACATTTAAGTCCGCTTTTAATATTAGTCTGTATAAGTTTATGTACTGGTAGAGAACTTAAAATCTGAAGTAATGCCATTGTAGTTATTTCACTGATAGAGATACTATATAGCCTATTTTATTTATGGGTTCTGTTGCAAGTAGAAAAAATACTTACATTGCCTAAAGCTATTATTAGGAAACATTGTTGAAATTCCACAATGTCATTTAGATTATTTAGATTATTTTAGCTCCTGTATTAAAAATGGGTCACTAATGGGGATAATTTCAAATGACTTAAATTACATTTAAAATAGAAGAAATGACATGTTCAAAAGAACATGGTCAGGAGAAGATACCACATATTGGTAATTTGTTATATACAAGGCTGGACTGCATCCCTGGAAATTCTGAGATGATGGATAGAGGCTAGAGAGACGCCAAATTGTGATGAAACTTTTATGCTATTTTTAAATTGTAAGAAGTGGAAAGGCACCAAAGGACAAGGAGAGTAGTGTACTCCAATTTGCATTTTAGAAAAGACTTTTTAGTGGTTGTGTAGAGGGTGAATTTAGAGCAGTGGGAGAAATTTAGAGCAGAGTTTAATAGCTTAGGGGAGAAAAGATGAGGGCATAAACTAAGGCTGTATCTATGTCAAGAAAGAAGATTTCAGAGATTATAAGAATATGTGGACAGTGGAGTCAGGTTCTAGGACAGATGTACACAGTGCAGGAAAAGTAGGAAGTTAGGAGTAGCTGTATTTGGGTCTTACGTAAGTGGATTCACCATTTACCATTTGGAGGAATACAGGAAGAAGAGACAATTTGGGGGGTGAGAGTGCTAGGTCGCTCAGTTGTGTCTGACTCTTTGTGACTGCATAGACTGATGCTCACCAGGCTTCTTAATCCGTGGGATTTTTCAGGCAAGAATACTGGAGTGGGTTGCCATTTCCTCCTCCAGGGATCTTCATATCTCCTCCATTGATAGGCAGATTCTTTACCGCTGGGCCACCTGGGAAGCCCTAATATTTTGGCATCGAGTGGGGATGTCAGATTTAGTTTTGGATTTGTTTGGTTTGTCATTTTAGGTAAATAGATTTATTAGACAGTTACAAATGTCTGGAATGCAGGAAACATTATGTATCGGTAGCCATCAACATATATGAGAATTGAACGCCAGAGACGTGAGCAACATCACTCAGGAAAACGTGAGATTTCAGGGCAGAAGGTAGATGAAGGATCATGGGGTTTGTTGACTAGGAGAGATGAGCTAAGGTAGAGCGAAGGAGCAACTTTGGAAAAGAATGAGTAGCAACTGGAAGGTATGGGAAAGTACAGCAGAGGAATTATCACATGGAAACTCGGAAAATGGGGAGATTCAAGAAGAAAAACGGTCACAGGCACAGCAGAATAAGGATTTAAAACTGCTGGTTTGATTTAGCAGCTAATAAGGCTTTAGTGACCTAGTGAAAGCAGTGTTAGAGGCACATTAGAATAGAACCAAGAATGTGGTAGAACTGAAGTGTTTAGAAGTAAGGGGCCATGATGTTTGTAACTTATTCTCAAATGGTTCAGAAAAAGAGAGGTAAAATGATAGTAATAGGTGAATCTGGGTAAAGGATATACAGGCAGGTTCTTTGTAGTAGTTTTAGTCTTAGTCTTTCAGCTTTTCTGAACTTTTTGAAGTTATCTTCCAACTAAAAGTTTTTCAGAAAAGATTACAGTAAAATAAAAAGTAAATAAAAAGCAGTAAATAAATGCATGTGTCTGTCAAAATCCTTGCTGTGAATAGTAAAGAAGTGAAGTGAAAGTCTCTCAGTCGTGTCCAACTCTTTGCAACCCCATGGACTATATATAGTCCGTGGAATTCTCCAGGGCAGAATACTGGAGTGGATTTATTCCCTGCTCCAGGAGATCTTCCCAACCCAGGGATCGAACCCAGGTCTCCTGCATTGCAGGCGGATTCTTTACCAGCTGAGCCACCAGGGAAACGAAAGGAGAAAAATGAAACTAAGAGCTTGGTTGTGCATTTATGTTACAGAAGATAAGGGACTGATGTTGTACAGAGGACGAGAAAGGTGTGAAAATTAAGAGTAGGAAAGAACAGTAATTAATGGAATAAGATCTCTGGAAGTAGAGTGAAAGTGAAACAAAGAAGGCTTTGAATTAAAGGAGGGGTAGTTTTTCTGTAATGGGAAAGATAAAAGATGAGTATGGGTACTGTTCAGTATGTATTATGTTAGATGAATCCATTGAAGGAGTTCATACCTAATGGACTCTTTTCTCTGTGGAGTAAGGTTATCTACTGGAATAAATGTATGTTAAGATATTTACAGATTGTAAGTAACTAATCACAAAGGAATTATGCCTTTCAAAAACTTTTGCCATTTACTTTGGAATCTGTAATACTTAACCTCAGTTAATCATAGAAGTCAGGGTTGGTGTAAGCTGAGAGTCCTAATCTTGCAAAGGACAAGTAAGAGTGAAAGGAGTTAATCAGTGGTCAAAAAAAATCTGTTAATCTCCTTAATTCTTATTATAAAAAAATCTGTACTTCCATTATGCTAAGTGAAATACACTATCCTTAATGTTATTAAATCCTAAAATTAGTAAATGAAAAATATTTTCATCAAAAAGTATATTTGTATACGTGTTTGATTTTTTTCTCTAAGATTTTTTTGCAAACTTCAAGAGTATATTCATTTAAAATAAATACATTAGAAAGTATATCTAAAGAATATACTTTAGAGGTACTTTTAGCAGTTGATTTTTGTCTCTGTGCATACTAAGTTTATTTTCTCTAGGAGCTTCACCGACCATTGAGAGGTAGTTTCTGTGGCCCAGCATCATCAAATATTCACATATTTTTAAAAACCATAAACTTTCAGTGTTGAAATTTAATTTGTAGCAAAATAGTATTATTTGCTCTTTCTTGAAAGTAAAATACCAGTGAGAAAAGAAGACTCGTTGCTTTTTATTTCATATTGTCCCCAAATTTGGTATCTGATAGAGTAGATTATTACATACTAAAGTATCTGTTCCTTTTGGCGTAGTAAATTTAGCCAGAAATATTTATACAGATAAAGTTTTGTGATTTTTTTTTTCCCTAGAGCATTCAAATTTTAACTATCTTTTTATTGTAAATCAGGTCATTGATTAGGTTATTGCTCTTGGATTTCTAGGCCTTGTAGTTGCAGTATTATTTTTTTAGTCTGAAATCTTCGTATCCAACAAGAGTGAGGATTATAGTGTCTAGAATAGCAGTTTGGTTTTCTTGTTATGTAAGTCTGTTTTAAACCTCGGTTACCTTTTCAAATAAAGTACATATATTTTGATTTCTTGACTGTTCGGCTTTAGGTTTGTTTGTATACAGTACCAAAATTAGCATTATTAATTAAAGCTCCTTGTGTTGATGTTGAAGTAGCTTCTTTGCCAAGTGAAGTAGCTTCTTTGCCAAGTAGCTTCTTTGCAACTCTTAGATTTGCAAAGAACCTAGAGCCAAAATTCTCGGTAAAGACACATGGATGTCTGTGTCAGCAGAAGAGAAAAATAACACATCTATTTTTAAGTTAGTTGGAATTCTGAAGTCAGACCACTTGGTTGAATGCCTGCCAGTGATATTAAAATTTCAAGCATACTTATAAAACCTCTGCTGCCTCCTGCTGCCCAGTGTGTGGATACTTTGAGAATCAAGTATTTAATTCTTTTTGTATTTGTGAATATTAAACTTTATTACAGATAAGTTAAGAAGTAAATAAACATTCTGTAGTTAAAGTCACAGTGGATGGAAAATTATAACTTCAACTTAGAAATTTCTCAGACTTTAGAAAATGAAAAATAGTTAAGATTCTTTCTGATACTACTTTTTTTTTTAGTCAAAGTAGCTGTCAGAGAGATGCTTAGATTGCTAAGTTATGCAAGTCTTCCAAATGTTGTTACATTTCTGTATATATCTTTTTAAAGAACAGATTTTTAAATATTACCACAGATACTAGCAGAAAGTCTTAATTATTAGAAAACTACAAAACTCATGGTGCTAAATACAGGTTTTCCAAAACTCTTGCTTTCATCCAAAAGCTTGAATTTTATCATTGGCAGTAAGTACTGCTACTTGTTTTCCTGAAATGACAGGTTCATTTCTTTCATTTTCAAGAAATTGTATGTCAGATACTCAGTTCTGAATAACTGAAGTTGGTCCATTGTCTTTTCAAGTAAAAATGCTTTTCAACTGTAAAGATTAAGTGAAATAACCACTATCAACTTCTTAAAATTTGAGTAAGCAGTCAATAAATGGTAGCTAGTTCATGGTGGAATGACATTTTACCTGTTACCGTAATACCCTCTCACCCATTTTAATTCAGTGGATGCTCCTAATACTCCTGTGAAGCAGGTAAAGTAGACAGCAGTATCTCATTATGTAAAGGCAGACACCTAGAATGTAAGGTGACATGCGTTTTAAAGTTGGTTTTAGTATAAAGTAACCATCCAATAAACAATCCAAACTTCAACTTAAGTTGTGTGCCTGTGCTAAGTCACGTCAGTCGTGTCCGACTCTTTTTGACCCCATGGCCTGTAGCCCTCCAGGCTCCTCTGCCCATGGGATTCTCCAGGCAAGAATACTGGAGTGGGTTGCCATGCCCTCCTCCAGGGGGTCTTCCCCACTCAGGGATTGAATCCTAGTTCTCTTACATCTCCTGCATTGGCAAGCAACTCAAGGCATCTATTTTCAAATGTAGGATCTTCCCACCCTTTCATCAGTAAAGAGTAAATGGGAAATACAGTTCCACATGACCCATGAAGAATAACACTTTTTGAGTATTGCTGACATTCTCATGTGTAATAAATTGAGGAAAGAACCATTAATTTCGTATAAAGTCTTCAGAAAAGGTATTATTTGAGCAAAGTCTTGAAGAACTAGTTTTTGTCTGTTAATTTGGAAGAGAATTACCTGTTTATAGAAAACCTTATGTAAATTATGGAAAAGTATTGATTCCTGGGTCAAGAAGATCCGCTGGAGAAGGGATAGCCTACCCACTCCAGTATTCATGGCCTTCCCTTGTGGCTCAGCTGGTAAAGAATCCACCTGCAATGCGGGAGAGCTGGGTTCGATCCCTGGGTGGGGAAGGTCCCCTGGAGAAGGAAAGGGCTACCCACTCCAGTATTCTGCCCTGGAGAATCCCATGGACTCTATATTCCATGGGGTTGCAAAAAGTCGGACACGACTGAGCGGCTTTCACTTCACTTATAGATGGAGTAAATTCTGAAAGATCACTTACATGATTTTGTTTTTCTCATTTTCCTCCTCAGGCTTTAAAAGAGAACTCAAGAACTTAGATGTAGCCTATAAAGCTCATGAGTTCCACCCAGAATCACATCTACAAATAAAAAATTCTTTGATAAAAAGGTAATCATACCTGTTTGGAAATACTAGAATCTTCTAAATGCATGTATAATAGGAATTCTTTATCAGAAAGGCATTCTTAGCTACCTGATAGGCATGCATACTTACCTGAAAGCTGTGGGTCTAGAGTGTTATGATGCATATTTTATTGGGGATCATTAAAAGGATGTAGACTTCAATGATAGGGGAGCATACAAAGTTCCTTGTACAATATATGATTGTTTGTTTTAATCCTCACAGCATTCTTTTGAGGTAGATGGTATTTTACAAAAGAGAAAATTTGGGATTTAGATTAAGTAATTTGCCCCAAGCCAGTGGAGCCAAGATTTCAGTAGAGTTCTGATCTACTTGTCAGAGCCTCAGCTCTTTTCATCTTTGTACTGTAACTGAATTTCATGCAATTCACAGGAGAAAATAATCACATGAAGATAAGTAATTTGTAATGTGATACTATTTCTGTTCATCTTGGATATTATTAAGTAAAAGTAGTCTGATTAAGTTATTTTTAATTAGTATCCTAGCCTTATGGCATCATAAATAAAAGTACTTTTATTGCTATAAACATTGTAATGTTGGTTGGGAAGTGTTTTAGAGTATTGAATTATTTGCTGATAACAGTTTCCTTAAGTCTATGCTATTATTTATAACAATAAATGTAATTTCAGTGTAAGTTGAAACTTTTTTTGGGGGGTCATACTACACAGTTTCTGGGATCTTAGTTCCCCAACCAGGGATTGAACCCCGGGCCCAGGCATGAAAGCACCAAGTCCTAATCACTGGACCACCAGGGATTTCCTGGAAATTTGCTTTTTTAAAAGAATTATACTTCTAATTATTACAAATCTGATATTGGTAATGATGTTTCTGGTAAACATTTACGTATTCTAGCATAGTTTTGGATTCAGAGTGTGTAAATTGTTAATGGTTGCAGGTATCTTTCCATTTCTGTTATGCCAATAACATAAACACTATATTGGGAAGTTAAACAATGGGACCAGTGTTTTTCTTTTCCCTCCAGTTTTGCATATTTGCGTACAGTGTTTTAGATTTGTTTTTCTTTTTCAGGTCACATATACATGAAACCAGTGGAAAGACACTCCCTTCATCCAATCCAGAAATACTCAAGGACCATACAGTTAGAGAGCTTACCCACCAGTTAGATGAACAGAAACTTGAAAAATCAAGTGAACCCAAGTTTTCTGAGTGGCTTAATATAGAAAAGTCTGAGAGAACAGGTTTGCTTTTTCACATTGATGATAACTCTGGTTCTGGAAAGAGAGTGAACAGTAATGAAACAGTCTCACCATCTTCATTGTGGTCTTCACACATGAGAACTGTGGAGTCAAAGCCAGAAATTGCTCCCCTCATCCAGCAGCAAAATATGATGGAACGATGTTACTCTGAGAACTTTCTACCCAGGGAACATCTGGTTCAGTCAACCTGTAGGTCTGATGGCTGTCAGATGCCGAAACTCATTTGCCAGAATGCACCACCCCCTCTGCCACCAAAGAAATATGCTATGACCAGTGTACCACAGTCAGAGAAAAATGGTTCTTCTCCTGATGTCAAACTAACAGAGTCATTTAAAACTAACTCTTCTAGTCTTCTGAAGCACAGTCTAACTACAGCTTCAGAGCCAGGCGTAGACATGAGTCCGTATGTGAACGAACAAAGATTTAAGGAAACATTTCAAGCAAAAGAGTATGTCGGCAACACATCAAAGACCCCATCCAACTCTTCAGCTAAAGATTTTCAGGCAGACTCAGGTGCAGCTGTTGGTGTTTTCTGCCAGCCAGAAACAGACTCTAGTTCTACATGTCCAAATGAGACAGTTTCATTAACTACCTATTTTTCGGTTGATAACTGCATGACTGATACATATAGATTGAAATACCATCAGAGGCCCAAGCTTTGCTTTCCAGAGAGCAGTGGCTTTTGTAATGATAACTGACTATCTCAGAATGAAAGAGAGCTAGGACCTGTGTTACATAGTAGTTTTGGTTCAAACTGCCCTTCTGAGCAAAAATATAAAGCTGGTTGGTATTCGCTGTAATAGATAAATGGTGACTCCAGTGGGCTTTCACTTCTCAGAGACCATTTAAGAATCAACTGACCAAACCTAGTGCTATATGAAATTAAAACCATGGCATCATTAGCCATTCATCACTTTAACTTTCTATGCATATCTTTTATCTTGTGAAAATCAATTTTTTGGGTATTTTGGAAATTCCCTCTGAATAGCCTTGGCATGCCTCAAAAAATAGAAAATCAGGGTGTATTCAGAAAGTCATTTTTCACACGCTGCAGTTGAGTAAAAATGTAATTTGACCCTTTATTTTTTGACTGGTAGACTCATAAGTATTAAACTAAGCAGTACCCATATGTAGATTGGTAACCTGTGCTAACTGAAAGATTGCAGATGGTAGGTAGTTTGCCAAGTCCAAGTAGTATTTGCTTTGTGAGGAAGCACTTTCTAATGGGTAGCCAAAAGGCGGCTTCACCCATTTGCTTTTGACTTCTGTGATAGTCTACTATATATGATTCCTTAAGTGTCTTAAAAAAAAAAAAAAATCAACCCATGAAATTGATAGCATTTCAGGAAAAAAGCCTTAATGATAAAGCAATTTTTAATTAAATTCTCAAGGTCAGAAGAGACTTAATTTTGCTCCTAGAATTTTTACCTTCAGAATATCCTTTGTTGTATTTATAAACATTACTTCAGTCATGTAAGCTAAAAATAATTAAAATACTTCACTGTAGTATATTTATTTGTTACATTTTTTTCTAGTTTTATATGAAAGGTTTTTATTTTGGTTTGGTTTACTTTGGGCTGCTAATAACCAGTGTTAGGAATTAACCTAAAGCCTTTTTTAAGAATATCACTGTGACTGCCTAAATTTTCCCTGCTATAATAGTATCTATTTGTATGTTGTCAGCCCATTTTAATGATATTCATAGTCTTGAATTTGAAAACCTTTCTGGGTTTCCAGATTAAATATTTGCCTTTCATATAGGTTTAATTTTGATGAAATGCATTAAATTGAGCATCCTTCCCTTTTTTCTTCTCTAAACAAATAATTTTACCCCACCTACTTTCACAGAGGCTTTCTTTAAAAAAGAAGTTTTCCTTTTTATCATTACAAGTGGAAATAAGTACTTTAATTGCCTTATCTCATAGTTGTCATTTAATTTTATACTAAGCTGGTAAACTAATTGTGGTTTAGAATAGTTTTATATTGTCCATGCTAGAGAACTGAGAATATGGATAAATTTTATATATAAAACATAATAACTCTGTAAATTAGTAAATTCAATATTTTGACCAGTTCCATAAATTGTTAAAGTATTCCAAAATGTTAATGATTAAAAAGGTAAGCAGAACATAATTGCTGTTCAAGTCTAAGCTCACCCAGTTATCAGATCTTGATCAAATTCTGTCTTCCACCTAGAGAAGTTTCTAACTGTAACAGTAGGTGATGATTATTTTATATTCTCTTGATGTAGAAATACTTGAATATCAATTAAGTAAAATTTTATCTTTTAAGAAAGCTTTTTTTAACATAGCTTTTAGTATGGAAGGTTTGTAAATATTGTAAAGTTTTGTAAAATTGTACTTGTAATGTCAGTGTATTTAATTACTGCTTTTGTAATATTGTAAAATACTAGAAAAATGAGCTTCAAGTATTTTTAATAATTTTCAAAAACTGTGTAGTTTATGTCCAGTTGAAAATGTATTATTTGAAACATTTAAACTGATTTCTTATACTTAACAATCTCATAGGTTTGTATGAAGTTTAACTCGCAATCGAGTTGCAGACATCACACAGAAATGTCTGATTTTGGGGCTTTTTAAAGTACTGCTGTCCAGTTAAAACCTCCTGAATTATGTTGTAGTACTACAAACTAGAAACTATTTGTTTTTGTTGACACAACATTCCAAATATAGACAGAATATGTATTTACTAATAATCATTCACATGTAAAATTTTTATTTCTAGGGTGACTATTTTTATACATGTTTTCTTCTGGTTAGAACTTTCAAAATAACACAACCAACAGCTGTAATGTTCACAATACTTTGGAGTATTTTCATGTGAAGTCAGTTTCTTCTGGTTCAGAATTTTGGAGGGGGGTAAACTGATTTTTAATATGGTTGGACTTTTCTCGCATTCATGAACTGTTGATTCCTCTCATCCCTGTGAATTATGTATTTTATGGGAAATGTAGGTCAATTTAAAGTTCAGGGGTGAACTTGGAATATCACTGATCAAAAAAATTTATCACAGGAGACTTGAGTTCAACTTCAGTGAGGTCTAAAGGAGAGAGTTCCCACAGGAGCTGATAGAGTCAGAGAGTAAGGAGAGAGTTCCCACAGGAGCTGATAGAGTCAGAGAGTAAATATAATAACCTAGGCCTTGTGTACTACCCTAAGATATCTCTAACAGCCACTCAGTTCTGCCTGGGTAGTGTGAAAACAGCCAGAACACAACACTTACATAACAATATGCTAATGAATAGCCTTGTCTCTGCTCCAGTAAAACTTCAGCAGCATTGAAACATGGATTTCACATCATTTTCATGTCATGAAATAGTCTTTGTTTTTTTCTCAATCATTTTAAGATGTAAAAATCATTCTTAGCTCACAGGTGGAGGCAAATGGGCCAGATTTGGGTAGTTTGGTGACCCTTTCCCTAGAGCATAACATCTACATTAAATGCCCTCACTAAATAATTGTGTAGCCTCTGAGTGTTATTCCCATGCCATTTAGGGGCTAGGTATATGGAGCACTTTACATCCTAAAAATTTCAGGTTAATAGACTTCTAAAGACTTCACCACAGTTGCTCATTAGCCAATTGATTTCAAATGGTTAAAACAATCATTTCACTTAATGAAACTGAAATTTACAAAGGAATTGATCAGACTAAAATCACTTTGATGTTATTCTTTTTGTCTTTATTTTTATTGTAGCAAGTTTGCCAAATTGTTCCTGGTGTCCCACTTACCCAGTTTATTTTTTTATTATTATTTTTTTCCATTTACCCAGTTTAAAAGCCTACAAGTACACTATATTATCTGAGATGGCAGAGTGGTAGGCGTGATTTCATCTGTAGGACATTGAAATATTCAAGAGTTGTGGTAGTAGGCTGATTTTAGGCTCAGAAAGGTGGTATGGATTATAAATCTTTGTGTGTGACCTAATACACAAGTAATTAGTTAAAATGAAAGCAAATCACACCTAATTTATCTGTGTAATATACATTTACTGGACAAAATTATTAGCAAGCAGCACAGAAACTATTCATTCAGTCTGTTTGGTAACCTCAATGAAATCCCAGTTCTGTTTGTCTAGATGCTTCAAGCGTAAAATGTTCTCTTCAGGCAGATTTACTAGGTTCTTTGAAGGCATAACGGTTAATCTAATAGTCGGCATTAGGCTAGAGTCCTTAAATCAGATGTCACACTAACCTAAACGCCATTCTAAAAAGTAGAGGATGGAGAGTTTACCAGACCCACACCCTGTTTCTAAGGGAACTGAAAAATATTTAGGCAATTCCAATATATAAAATATCACCAATTTCAAGGATGAGAGCCCATTTCTAATGTTATACATACAATAGGAATAGCTTCTGAAGGGCTACTTTGGGAATGTGACCTTTTGATGAAATACTAGCTGATCACTCTTAAAAATAAAATTATTAACATATTTAGATAAAGAATATAAGCTCCATGAAGGTAAGGATTTTTGTTTTGTTCAGTGCTGTACCTGGCCCACAGTAAGTGCTCAAATATTTGCTCAATGAGTAAATATGGTGACTTTGCTGAAGTATTCAAAGTTACAGACATTATAATAAGTATGTTTTGGCCACAAGCATTCTTAATGCAAACCTAATGAAAATTAGGTTTGAAACACATAGTTGTGTTTCACTGAGTTCAAGAGCTTAAAAGTGAGGGGAAGCATCCAGGTAAAGATGACAGGCCCTCTAGCCTTCCACCACTGGATACTATATACTTTCTCTAAAATTGTACCAACCTAGCAACCACAGAGGGCCACTGAAAAACTGAACTGGCATTTACAGCAAATACATTGTGGGCTTGGACTTTCTCGTATAGCTTTTACTCCTGTTTTTCCCCACGTTCTTCCCTTGCTTTTGAATAATTTGTTTTTAAATATTTCACATTATTTTACTGTATTATTTGCATCATACTAAACTCTGGCCAACTCTTAAAATGTTAAAGAGAAAAATACTAAGGTATTTATTAATGAGTATAATAAATCCCATGTAAAATACTTTTTAGATTCAGCCCCTGTAAAGCCATCAGACAATCTGAAAAAAACTTTTAAAACATGAATAAAGTTTTACGAACTTAGCTATGAATGGGTGAGATAATTACCCGTTTAATACAGTTTCTCCCACCCCATCCCCCCACAAATAACAACAGAACGTGTAAAATGAAAGGAGGGTCCCTTCAAGGTTGAAATCCTTCTGGTGCCCAGCCCCGTCTTCTTTGTTGAAGAAGTCTGTAGTCATCTTCAGGAATCCACTCCAGTAGACAGAATTCTTTAGGTATCAGGCAAACCATTCTGGAAAAACAAACATATTTCAACAATGTTTCCTTTTTCTCCCCCCTTTAAATACCTATGTAAACTTCTGAAAATCTTTTTTTTGCATATAAAATAATGCTTTATTTTTATTGGAGTATAGTTAACATAAATTATATTAGTTCCATGTTACAACATAGTAATTTCACGTTAATATACACTACAAATTGATCACCACAATAAGTCTAGCAACCATCTGTCATCAAACAGTATCTGAAATATTATTGACAGTATTCCTAAAATTGTACATTATAACCTATGACTTATTTATTTTAAATTGGAATTTTGTACCTGAATCTTTTTGCCTTTGTCATTTTCCCTGAACCCTATCATACAATGATCACTGTTG